ATAAATATAAATATAACATATAAATATAAATATAAATATAAATATAATTATATGAATTAGTATTTCACCCGCACATGCGCGAGTTAAACTCACATTCACCAAATGAGCCGGTAAATGTGCATATTCACCGGTGAAATACCGTTGAAAATTCACAAATTTTTACCTTTGAACCCAATATTTTATATAGAGAGGATTGTACTTTTAAAATACTTTTTTTCTGAAAGCAGTTTAATCTTTTTGAATTAGTCAAATTGTGTTAATAAAAGATCAGATCATAATATCATTCATGATTCGTATCTAAATTTTTTAAACCTAATTAAAAACGATTAATCCTTTAATAATTTTGTGTGTATATACATCTATATGTGTAGTAATATATGCACATCCATATGTGTGCTTATATGTATGTTTTTGTATGAACACTATATACATGTATTTGCGTGTATGTTCGTGTATATATTGTATGTGCATGAATATGTGGATATATGCATATGTATGTATGTGTATATGCATGTTTGTGTATGTAGGTGTGCATATGTATGCGCATGTATATATACATAATAATATTTTTCAACATTTGCTAAAGCAATACATTGTCATTTTTCGTAAATTACCAATACAAGAACCATCAAAAATTATTTTTGTCTAAGTCCTTACATCTGGCCGACAAAACTCCATAACAGTGTGTTACAAAGTCTTGTGAAGTCAAAAATATTTACAAACATCCTCGGAAAAAATCGAGTGTTTTTAACAAAAAATATTAGTGATATGGATATATAAATTATTACAGGTAAATAATGTTTGCTTCTCAATTTTATATAAAACCTTTTTTCGTAAATTTTTCATTACTCTTTACACTGGTACATAATCCATTCCTTTATAATTTTTCTGAATAATCTGTAATAACCATCATTAATTAATGTTAATCAATATTTTTAAAAAACATTGTCTTTGACAGAATAAACCTGATGATGGAACGTATCTAGTTCCGAAACGTCGTTATTAAACATCTTCAAAGAACAAATTGTTTTTTATTATTGGATTTACTGTTCGAAAAAGGAACAATCAATATATTGAAAAAATCCAGGACTTATCTATTGAATATATATATATATATATATATATATATATATATATTAACAAAGTCTAATAATCGGGCATAACATCAATAAAAAACATGAATTTCTTTCAAAAATTTATTTTAAATCCATACGTTTCGGCTATAATCCTAGCCTTCATTCAGTGGAAATTAAAAATAAAATTAAAAACTAAAACAATTGAATTGGAGTGAAAAGAAACAATAAAATAGTAATTAGTACTTACAATTAGTAGATCTTAGTGTTAAATTGGAAAATTTTAATAATCCATGGTATTAGGATATGGTAATGCACTACACTATGTATTATAAACATTAACTTGAAATTACACAATATATTCACAAAATACTGATTTGAAAAAATCACAAATGGATAGTGTGTTATTCGTAGACTGGTTGAAGATGTAATGGAGAAAGACATTTTTTAAAAAATATTTTTACCAAGATTCTAAGTTAGATCTAACGGACCACGCAATACTTCTATCGGACAAAACATTTTGGGACAACAACATCAAATTAATTACAAAAATTCTAACAGATAACTCTTATCCCCTAAAATTTATAAATTCCGTAACTAGTAACAGACAAACGTACCTTTTGAATAAAATGGACAATTGCACAGTACATAACGATTTACCTGACTCAGAAACTCATTCTGGTGTAATATGTTTGCCATACATTAAAGAATTGTATGTTCCTTGGAAAAAACTTTTTTGTAAATCTGGACTTCGACTTGTAACCAATTTTAGTACAACTACTAGCACTATTTTTACCAAGACAAAAACTCCATTTAATATTGAACGACTCAGAAATCTCGTCTATCAAATAAATTGTTTAGACTGTAATTTAATTTACATAGGAGAAATTAGCCAGAACCTCAATAAACGGTTACAACAACATAAAAACAATTCAAAAAACCCCAAACAATTCAAAACTGTACTTGCAGACCATATATACACTTTAAAACACAATATGGACTTTTCTAATCCGATTGTACTACAATTCGAACAAAATTTATTTAAACGAAGAATTATAGAGGGATCTTTTTTAACTATTTATAACAATAAGACAATAAATATTCGCAATTCGTTCCACACATGTTAGAATCTTGGTAAAAATATTTTTTTTAAAAATGTCTTTCTCCATTACATCTTCAACCAGTCTACGAATAACACACTATCCATTTGTGATTTTTTCAAATCAGTATTTTGTGAAAATATTGTGTAATTTCAAGTTAATGTTTATCATACATAGTGTAGTGCATTACCATATCCTAATACCATGGATTATTAAAATTTTCCAATTTAACACTAAGATCTACTAATTGTAAGTACTAATTACTATTTTATTTTTTCTTTTCACTCCAATTCAATTGTTTTAGTTTTTAATTTTATTTTTAGTTTCCACTGAATGAAGGCTAGGATTATAGCCGAAACGTATGGATTTAAAATAAATTTTTGAAAGAAATTCATGTTTTTTATTGATGTTATGCCCGATTATTAGTCTTTGTTAATACATATGTCAACATCAAATTCAGAATCATACAATATATATATATATATATATATATATATATATATATATACTAGATGACCCGACAGACGTTGTCCTGTACCCACCTCTATGTTTTTTTTTAATATCCTATACTATTTATACCGTTCAGTTAGAAATAATCATTATTGTTTTTCGAGTTACTATTTACACCAATATATGAGTGATGTTAAATGTAGTACTGTTTCAAATAAAATGATTATTCTCAATTCCCACAATTAACACTTTAATTATCCTTTTAATAAATATTAAAATATGTTCAATAAAATTATATATTAAAAATTATACACTGCGATTTATAAAACAAATTTATTTCGAATAGCTCAATTTATTTTATTGAATTTAAGGGTTATACAATATTTTTAGACATACCTGTAGATGTGGATGTTTATATGAATGATTTTTTGTTTATTCACGGCTAAAACATTGATTTTCCAAATTTATCACCATGTATTTATTGTCATAACATAGATACACGTGTTGAAAATTGAAATCTTTTAAAAAGCATAACAAATTCAAAAAGAATTAATATATAGCATGCGTTCACATGTGCTCTATTTAACCTACTATCAACAAATTTATTGCAGTAAATGGAGAGGAAAAAGGCGTATGCTCAGCTAATCTTAATCTAAAATTCAAAAGCGAAAACAATTTGCATTTCGTCACCACCCCCGCATTAATTGGATTATAACTCTTCTAATTTTGATTTTATTATAACTTGTAATATACTATTTTAAAGGTGATTAAATGAACTACAACTTTCTCTATCATGAATTTTACCGTAACTTCTCTTATTTTGAAACGGCAAAGGCTTAAAGGCTCGAAAGACACTCCGGTTGGACAGCCGCGTACTCTTTAAACAATTAGAACTCTATCAATATTTGTGTAACAAAAAATAATAAAAAGCAATAATTAGTCTGAAAAATACCTTGAATTTCCATATATATTATTTATCTCATAGAGATATTATAATG